GACAAAATGAACACGCAAAACTGATTCCTAAGATTAGCAAAATAACAGTTAGAACCAATAAAACATAACGGTACTTGTTCCCTTTTGTTTTATATAGGTAATTCAAAACAAATAACTCTTTACGACGGCAAAAGTTGAATCATTGCATTTCTTTCAAAATGCACTCTATTTTGGCGAAACAAAATGGCCGTTCTTTAGAAAGTAACTGGGTATTTCGGAAAGGTTCAGTTGTAACTAATAATAAATCAGTTCGGTAATTGTTTGGCCGCCGATTTCAATAACTTTGTTATTGTATTTAAGTATAAATAAACAAAGAATTATATGTTTAAGAAGTATAAAGTAGTAATGGTTTAAACTATGCCTTCCTACTTGTTTCCTTTTTTTAACGGTTTATACTCTATGATTTATTGTTTTTCTCGAAAAGGTTAGGAGATAACACCGTTCTTTTTTTGGTAGTGCTAGATTTAAATGATTTGACATGTGAATAAAATTATCAAAGTCCTTTTGGAGAAATTAATTTTGTGCCGATTACGTTAATGTGTGTGTGTGTTAAAATGTGAATGATTGTGTGTGATTTTATATGTGATTTTATTTGAATATCTTTATATGAACTTGGTTATTTTTTACCTTAAGGGGATTAGAGATTTGGAGATTTAGAGATTAGGGAGGGATTGGGGTTGGAAAGTATTCTGTATAGGGCCCCCCGTAACCTCGCTCACACGGTGTAACATAACAATTTGGCTGCGACAGATATTATATTGTATTCTGGTAAATTCCCTTAATATTCTGTTCTGCGAATAAATCTATTTTGAAACCACATAATTATGATTGGCATAACAACAGAATTCAAATGACGAAACAATGCATTATAATATTATTTAGTCAATTATTCCCTATTTATAGTTTCCTAGTGTTTAAAATGAGGATAAATCTTGTTGAGTAATTCTGTGTTTATTTTGCCTAAAATATTTGCAGAGGTAACATTCACATGTAGTACCTAATCGTAGGTAGTTTGCTAAACGGTCGCGAAAAGTCGGCAAACGAGCAGATGGATTACCTGATGGTAAGCAATCCGGTTGCCGGCGTTTTGGGGATAAGGGTTTTGGATATTTATGGAGGAACACCGGGTTGGCTTTTGTCAGTAAGAGTCTGACGGTAGGTGCCCTTCGCCATTCCCCGAAGGCGGTGGGTCTAAAGGTCTAAACTGGGTCTAAAGTCTGGGGAAGGGGGAGAGATTGGGGCTCCGGTAACCTCACTCACACGGCGAAACATATCGCTGTGGTTGTTTCACGCCGGTTTTATGTGAGGCTGTGGTATCACAGTACTTTACATATTAATGTAGGTACTAAACTCATTTTGCGATTGTTTTCCTTTTGTTTTTTTTTCTGTTACTGATTATATTTTGCTCTATATTCCCACAGACCTCTTTTAAAAGTAAGGAGACAGGTAAATATTTTTTCATTAAGAAAAAATCGAGCAACTCATAAAGGGTCCCGGTGAAAGTTTTCGCCGAGAATCCGTTCACGGACAAACAAATATAATGCAACTTTTTTATATATGTAATGGGTAGGTACTTCGAGGACGTTGTTAGCAAAAAAATATACTTATTCGCTTGGTTAGTTTTAGCGATGGGACCTTTCTCCGAATCGATACGTTACCACAAAAGGGTTTTATATTTCACAAACAGATGGCTTTTTTTCATTTTTAAATTTTTGCGTAGGTATGACATCTGTCAAGCTATATACGTACATATTTAGGTAGGTAAGTAGGTATGTATGTAGCTAATATTTTACCTGTGAGGTGAGATATCTTTATGTAGCCTCGAACATGGTCAGACTGAGTACCTAAATCCTACAGAAATAACTAATTATTAATACAAATACATATTATTTATAAAATGGACACCTTTGTGTTAAGTTTATATTATAGTTACACAAATTGTTGTTTAAATAAAGTGTTTTTATCTTTGTTCCTATTTTTAAATAAACGTAGCTGCATACTAAGTTTTTTTATACTATTTAGTTATATATTCTTTATTGTACACATCATTAAAAATTAAACACAAAGAGCACGCTTACGACCACAGAGTGTACAATTGACGGTCTTATGTCACAAGAATATTTCTTCCAGACAACCTTTCTATGGTTATTTAATCAAATCAAAATCATTTATTCAAACTAAATCATAAATAGGGTCAACTCATCTAATTCTGTGATAAAAAAGAATGTGGAAAAAAAACAGGTTAATCTTTATAAATTTTATTTTTATTTTTAATAGGAACATTAATCAGTCTTCTATTTATCATATGAGCAAGTGTAATCTTAATATATATGAATCAACTCAGCGTAAAATGAGCTTAATCAAACCGCGATGACTTGTCTAATTCTGTGACAAACACCATAATTCGGTGATAGTACTTTTCTAATTCTGTTATAACCGAATTAAGAGAGTATTTAATATTTTTTAACATAAAATCAACAAGTATATGCTTTTAACAACTAATTGTCAAAGTATCATCAACTTACACTCACCTTTTCTATTTAAAATTAATTAAATAATGACAGCACAGTCGCACGCTACCGTGAAACGTCAAACATGGCGGGCGGAATGACAAATTCCGTGATTGTTACTATATCACTCGCACGATCTTAACAAAAATTTGTACACGAAAAGAAGATTTATTACCATACCATAGGGTTAATTTTAATGTATTGGATTTTACTCCTATAACGCTGTGAAAGAGTCCAAACGTGGAATCTCCGAATTAAGTGAGTCACACAATTAGGTGAGTTTACTATAGGTACTTTTGAAACGTCAAAATAAAATAGTAGTCTGTCAGTCTGTTTGTGTGAGTTGATACTTAAAACCTACCACGCCAAAACTGTATAATTAGAACTTGACATTTAGTTTTTCTGAAACGATAATTTTTGGTGTTGTTGTCGAACAGCTCGAACTTTTGTTTACTTAGTTTTATAAAAAAACCCTCTCTATGTAGGTAATGCAACTGAAATACCTTGAAAATACTGTTAATCTTCGGGTCATTATTAACCAATAACCATACCTACAAGTAGCACGATACGGTAGGTTCCAACTGGTCAATATCAATACTTTTATCAAAATGATATATATTTTATCATAATGATAATACTTAATATCTTTTTTCAATAAAAGTTTTTACCTCCAAATTATGATATGACGTCATAATTTGGAGTTACAAACTTTTTATGTCAAATACTTTACTCATTTCTTAAAAATCAGGTAAAAAATATCTAAAATTAAGTGCAGCGACAGATCGATCGAAAAGTATCTATAGTTATATTTCAATATTTTATTATAATATTGAAACGTCGTATTTATTAATTTTTGACCTAAAAAACTACCCAATTATTGTCACCCATACAAGAAACAAACTAGCATCAAATACACAATACTTCAACATTACCAACTCATGACGTGAACAATGCTATATATAGCCACACTTGTAAAAAAAATTAACAAGAATCAAAGAATTGAAAATTAAAGGCCAATTTTACAGAATTGACATGGCGTCGACAAGAAAATTATTGTTGTGCATGTCTACTCGATTTTTGATAGACAGTCACCTTTACGTGCCCTTTATACCCTGTGGAGCACGCGCGCCCTTTCAGTAGCTACATAAAATATTTATAATATAATCTTTTTGTCCGTCAGTTCATAACTGGCCGTGGCTGACGTGTAATGCAGAGAAAAAATTGACAGTTCTTAATATGTGTCAATGTTTAAAATGTTATTTTGATGTCTTTATAAAGTAGGTAGCTGTTTGTTGCTTTTTAATGCAAAAAAATTGGGATTAGGTATGTCAGCTCCCATTTAAAAAGATTGACAAATAATTTTGGACCTTGACCAAACATAAAAATAAGTTTGTGTAATAGGGAACAATTAAACAATACTTAATTATTATCCTTTATTTAATCAGTTGACGTTTCATTATAATTACATTACAAATATTAAAATTAACTTAAATCTTAAATCAACCTAAATTAACAAAATCTTAATAAAACTAATAAATGCAATTCGTTTGCGACTTAATCTTAAAAGACAAAACCCTATTACTTAATGCATGGAATGACAAAAAACAAAACACGGATGACAAAAAAAATGTAGACGAGATGACAGATAGATATGTTTTTATTTTTACCTTAAAAATTAAAAAGTCATCATCAAAAAGGCGTAGTCTAGCAAGCCTAAGTGACAAGAACTTATAGTTTGCTACCAAAATAATAATATTGCCATTTTAAAAATAAATATTTAAACAGTCTAATTCTCTTTTCATTCTAATGTAAAACAGTAACTGAAGCTTAAATTATTGTATTATGTTGTTCTACGGTTGTGGCTTGGATTGGTCATAATGTAATTATTATATCAAATAATAATGTACCTTAATGTATTTTTGTTTTCTATTAAAACAGTAGCAAACACCCCGGTTTTCCCTACGCCAAACATATTCTATAAAATCTTAAAACTAATAGTTTGAATTTATTGAATTGAATTATTTATTGTTAAAATAAATAGTAAATGCTTCTGATGGCGAATTATTGAGTTACTTAAATGAAAATATTAATTAATAAAAATGTAGGTAGTTATTTTTTTCCTTAACATTTTAGACTATATAAAAAAGTACGTATTTGTGGCAACCCTACATTGAGTATTTTCTATAGAACTTAAATTTAAATCTAATTAAGAATAAAGATTAGAATTATAAAAAATAAAAATATTAATTTATGAGTATTATTGAGCACCAAAATTCTTCATTCTTAACATTAGTCGATTTTTTAAACTAATTTAACGTATTCGTATACAACCACAATTAATTAATTTTTAAGTACAAAAACAAGGTTATTTAAAATTTAAAATTCGTAGAGAGGTACTCTGAGTATTTATATGTAGATAAGTATCATACTAAGTATCATAAGGAAGTACCTACAATTATATTTTTTATTTTTTAATACGATGACCTTTTTGCCTACGCACCTGCCTAATGGCATTTTGCTCACATTTTACATCTAAAACACACATAAAATACATTACAGAACCTAGCAAAAACACTTCAAGTTAGCAAAGAAAACTAAAAAAAACTTACACAGTTATGACGCTTAATAAGAACTAAGGAATGACTGAACTAGAATTACGTACTACGATGTCAGTTTAAATGTATAGGTCGAAATCAAAGCCTCCTCCTCCGCTGAGGTAATCGTACAGGTAGACCTCCATTTCCTCCAACGCTTCGATGCTTGGATCACGGAGTGGAACGTCACGGATGGAGCGAGCTGATCTGGAGAGGCTGTGGAGGAGAAAACATTAATTGATATATGCTAAAAATGTAACTAAATAAAGAAGAGCTTGTTTGTTTGCTCAAACGCGCTAATCTCCGGAACTGGTGGTTCGAATTGAATCATTATTTTCGGTTGTATAGTGGACTATCTTTTCGTGTCGTAGCTGCTGCCGCGTTTCACCCGCAGCTTGTCTCATATTGGCCGTAAGGTCATGTTTTATAGCATATAGCATTCAGGAACATTGTACTCCTAGCTATCTATCAGTGATAGAATTTTGGAAATACGAACTGCGGTTCCAAAGATGCCCCTACATACAAGAGCAACTTACGCAAAATCGGTGTCGGAATCGAACATGTACTCCTTGTTGAAGTGCTCGTTGATGTCCTTCATGATGCAGGCCTCCAACTTCTTGTGCTGGAAACAAAAAAAACAAAATCATTAATATCGAAGGTCCACATACGACCATGAAGTCTGTAAACGAATGCTTTTAACACATTCCTTAGCAAAAAATCAGAAAAACTGTTACACTAATAAAATCATCTGACATTGTTGAACATGTCAAAATTTGTCTTTGGTTTAAAAATATAATAATAACAAGTAAGTAATATTATTAATGAACAAAGCCTGAAACATTTAAAATGGTATTTTATTTTTTTCTCTATTTGTATGAAATAAATACTTACCACTAATTTATAATCAGATAAAAATTTGACTTAAATATTCTTTGCAGGAAACCTTTTTTAATGTTACTTACAAGGATAAGTCGTAAGGACATAAAAAACTAAATCTATAAGTTACCTTGTAGCAACGGAAGAAGAAGATGGCCCTGATCTGCTCCTGAGGACGCGGTACGATGTCACGCTTATCTTCAGGTACACATTGCTGGAATAATGAAAATAATTATTATAATTACAAACTGAGTAACTGAGACTTTTTGCACTAATTGGACCATAACAGTAGAACAACGCACGGTCTGATGTCTGTTTATGATAGCTTCGAAGCTGAGATTTGAATGTACAAGTACAAATATATAGCCAATTTTAAGTGTGGGAGAGCCATGCTTCAGCACGAAACAGTCGGCTCGACCAGAGTGATACCACGGTCTCACAGAAAACCGGCGTGAAACAACCACAGCGTTGTGTTTCGCTGTGTGAGTGAGGTTACTGGAGCCCAATACTACCCCTCTCCCAATCCCCCCTCAATCCCTAAATTCCCTAATCCCTATAAGGTCGGCAACGCACTCGTAACTCCTCCGTTACGAGTGTTCATGGGCGGCGCTGATTGCTTACCATCAGATAAAAAAGAATTCCATGACACTATTCGCAGAAGTTGCCAAATAAAACATTAGATATAAATAATTCAAAAAGTCATAAATAAGAGATTAATGAACGTTATATCTGTCAAGGAAAGTCAGTTTTTCACTCGTTAGAAGACTCACCGAGAACTTCTGACAGAACTGCAGTCCCTCCTGTATGTCGTTCTTCAGCTCACTGGAGACAGGCAGGTTGCTGATCCTCTGTGTAATCTGCTCGTAGTTGGGCTCCATATTGCTGTCGATGTAGCCTAGTTCTTGCATCACACAGGTTACGTTTTGACTGGCTTGTGCGCGTGCGCTCATTCCGAGGCGGGCACGGAGACCAAGATGGCGCTGTAGAAAATATTAAGGAAAATAATCTTAGTGTATTTTCCAAACACGAGGGATCCATTGAGGGTGCGTGGTCGTAACCTGACAAGCACTAATGTGACCTTTTCCAAGTTATTTGAATTTTCTATGGTTATTTAGACGCCCCTGACATACGGTGAAGGAAAACAAAGTGAGGAAACTTGGACTTATAATTTCTATTTATAAGTTTGAAATAACCAATCCACCTTAAGCAAGCGGGTGTTAATGCTCAAACATTCTCTGAGTGAGAAAACGCCTTAGCTCAGCAGTGGAAACTTGTAGGTTGGTGATGTGATTCCACAAACCGGCCGGGCCAAATATTACAATAAAATATTGATGTCTGTAACCAGTGATTTTGACTCTCGGCTTATGATAGTTTCAGACGGTATTGATAGGTTTTAAAAACAAATCTTTCCTGTTTTTATAATTGTAGGCACAGATAATGAATAGAACAGCGCATTGTTTAGTATGATTCTTTTTTTATTGGCAATGAGGTAATGTTTTGCCATTTTCGTCACTTGTCTGCCATAAGCAATTCTTTATACACATCGGGCCTTGAAGGCACCCAGGGTTTACTCATCCTTTGGGAAAAACATCGTCTGGCAAATAATCACATTACTCACATGTCCAACAGTGTGTTTTGATATTTTAATAAGGGCAATATTGCCCATAACTTCAAAGAATAATCACCTGTCACACAACACGACTTACCGACATCCTACTATTTCCAAAGAAGGGTTGTTGTTGTTGAAAGAAGGGTTGCTGGTACTGTTGTTGTGGTTGTGCAAAATAGGGGTTGTACGGCAAGTTTGGAGGGTAGAACACTGGCGCGTTGTAGGGCATCTGATAGTAAGGGTTGGCATTGAATGGCCGGAACTGTGCCGGTACAACGTACGGTGGAATTGGTGATTGCGGTTGCGGGAATGGGCCCTGCAAAATAATAAAAAAAAATTAATATAAAATCTAAAAAGTTCATTGTCAAAAGTGCTATTTCGCTGTTAGAGTATATGGACCTAATAAAGAGAGGTTTTCCACCGGTAATTTTACTCCCACGGCGAAACAAAGCTCTGTAGTTGTTTCACGCAGGTTTTTTGGTGGTATCACTCTGGTCGAGCCGGCCTGTTCCGGGTTGAAGAACGGGTTGATGCCGAAGCAAATTTAGCTCTCTCACATTAATTCAACAAATGTGTTTTTTATGTAATAGACCGGCAAACGAGCAGACGGATTACCTGATGGTAAGCAATCAGCGCCGCCTCAGAGGAGATACAAGTGCGTTGCCGACCTCATAGGGATTAGTGTTTTGGAGATTAAGGCATTGGGGAGAGATCGGGGGAGGGGAAGGATTGAGCCTCCGGTAACCTCACTCACACGGCGAAACACAACGCTGTAGTACTTTACTAGCACAATTCGATAAAAAACTACTTAATTAGTACCTAGATAATAACTAGCCTACTCCTACCCGCGACGTTGTTTATTAAACACCTAAACCTTCCTCTTTAATTATTACACTATTTTTTTAAATACAATTTTAATAAATATAAATTTGTTACGTTATATCTTTTAAAAAACTACATCAAAATCGGTCTCGCAGTTTTAGAGATCTAAGCATACATAGGAACAGACAGCGGAAAAAGACTTTGTTTTTATGCCATGTAGTGACTACCTATCTATATAGGTACCTACATATGTAGATATGCGTTTGTCATAGTATAATTAGTTAAGGAAACATAGAAAAAAGAGATTTGAATATTATTTTTTCCATAGTAGGTAATCAATAGTTTGATCGTTGAAAACAATCATATACATAATTCTATTTTCCATATTTAAATGTCGATACTAAATTGATTATTTCCGTAATTCCGTTTTTATTAAATCCAAACTAATATATAACTGCGAAAGTATCTAACTCTGTCTGTTTGTTTTCTTCACGCCTAAACTGCTGAACAGATTTCTGTAAAATCTGGTACAGACATAATTTGGAACTCGAGAAAGGACATAGGATAGAAGTAACAGGGCGGTATTTAGTCAGTAAAAGTCTGGCACTCCCTCATACATGCGTCAGCAAGTATAGGCTGGCTATGCTGGAGTTATATCCGTGATATTTATAGAAAACCGGCGTGAAATAACACTTACATCATGTGACCGAGGTAACTGGAGGCCAAATCCTTAATCTCATCCTCAAATCCCCAATCCTTAAATACCTAACTATGCATAAAAAGCCGGCTCCGAATGAGGTTGGCATTGTGGCTGTCCAAGGTCGGCTCTGATTGCATACCAACAGGTCAGTTCGTTTGCCGACAAATCCCAAAAAAATAGCTAAGTATTTAGTTTTGTTTTTTCCAGGTAAGTTCTGACATAAATTTAAGTATAAGCATAGATTAGGTAGTAGTAGGTCCCTAAACTAATTATCAAAACAGTTTGCTTTTGCACACCGCGTCGTGTGACGCGCTATGCTGCTCATGAATATGAGTCCCAAGCGAGGTATGAAAAGAGTCGAGCTATCTCGACAAATAATTATGTGCGTACCCCGTTAAACATACTTAGTAAATAATTTAATATTTTTATATTTTGTAATACCTACAAGTTTTAAAAAGTACATTGCATAAAATTAAATTGTTACTAGGGTTTATAATGATTCATTAAGTAATTTCATTATTTAAATTGACTTTTATTTTAATTAGATAAGATAAATCAAAATTTAAAATAAGAACGTAATTCGTAACTCGTTCAACGGCTTATAAACTACTCTTGTACAAAGATATTTTATCTGTGAATTTTGTTTATGTCATTTTAGGCCTTATCAATGCATAGAGTTAACTGATATCAATAGAATCTATGAGAAAATAAAATTATTTTTAAGTACTACTAATTGTAATTATCGATTACATGTAGATGTCGAGAATCGAGATAAACTTGATTTAATGTTGAATTTCGCAAAAAATATTCATATCTGCAAGTTGTTCATAGTACACTTCTCCTTAAATATTTTTTAACTGAAAATTAATTTCAAAGAGCTAATTATTTATTGGACCGTTAAAAATAAAAAAAATCCATATATCAAATATTGATCAATAATAATTGAGATAACCATCGAGTATTTCGCGACCTTCATCATAGCCTCTTTAGCTCAGTGGTAGAGCACTGGTCTCGTAAACCAGGGGTCGTGAGTTCAATCCTCACAGGAGGCATCGATAAGAAATTTTTATTTATTTCGTTTTTGTTTTACTTTTTATGCTTTTTCTCAATTTTTTTTTCAAATAATTTTGTAATATTTACCCCGTGTGGCCTGAAAGATAAAACACCACCCATTGTTTGTTTTTGTGGTGCTTGTCCTTGATCTTGAATATTTCCATCGTCGTCTTTGTTGTGGATAGCGCCATCTAGTGGTTTTGTGATGGTTTGCGAGTTCGGGTCCATGGAGAACCCAGGCGGCAGTTTGCTTAGGAACAATGGTGGTATGTGTGAGTTCAACGGTTCTTTCATAGGTGGCGCTGTTGAACATTTTGCGTATGCATCTTTTAGTTCTTTGGTAATTTGTTTTAAAAGCTGAGTGCCGAAGCAGCTTTCGTATATCTGTGGAAATAAACAAAACATGATTGTATCATTTTGTGAACTATTTTAGACTGTTTAATAAAGCGGTAATAGTAAAATATTATGGCGACATTACTGACTTTCAGGTTAAATAAAATTTAGATGATGATATTACAGTTATAAATAAAGAGTATGAGACGATAAAGTTTGAATTTTATATTATTGAATTTAATCTTTCATTACATTAATATCTAACGGCCTTATTACAAAACAAGGTTTTGCTTTAGTCTAGGACTAAACCATTGAGCCAGTTTTTGTATTTCGAATTGAAGGTAGATGACAATAAGATCCAAAATTCAAAACCCGACTCAATGGTTTAAATCTGGACTAAAGATAAATTTTGTTTTGTAATAAGGGGGTAAGAGTTTAATACTGTACAGCTATTTCAACATGTCTATCATGAGCAGTCGTGGCCGAGCGGTTAAGGCGTCTGACTAGAAATCAGATTCCCTCTGGGAGCGTAGGTTCGAATCCTACCGACTGCGAATTCTTTTTGCATTTGAATATTTTGTTTTGATTTATTTTTAATTTCATTTTATTTACCTTTAGCATTGCATAATCCTTCATGAACTTGTTATCTGCGCTGTCTAAGGCTTGCGCGGACGCCCAGAGTAGGAAACAAAATAATATTTGAGCCCGCATTTTGTACCTGTAAAGAAGAAAAAAGAAATATTTAGATGCTGCTTCAACATATACATACAATAATGTTTTTTGGTAGAGAAACTTTCGTGGAACACACATTAAAATAATGAAAATATCACGTGAATATACCTAGTAGAAAAAGCGTGTCTTGTTCTTCGTGCTCAAAGTTTATTAACGTAAGTAAGTAAGTAGTTATTTTGAACAAACCCCTAACTAACACGATGCAAGTTTTTCCCTGCTGCATATAAATAAACTTGGCGTTTAAATCACTCGTAAATCTGCTATGATGTAAACAATCATTAAAATTCAAAACAATTTTTGCTATTGTACTTAGGTACTTATGTCTAAGAAAATATGGTACTTTGCTGTGCGAAAAATAAATTAATTTTACGTTTCAATACGATAAAATATTGAAAAATAAGTATATGTATACTTGTATCAGTCAATCTATCTAATACGGTAGTTTCCAACTAGTCAAATTCAATACTTTTCTACAAATGTCAAAAACGATACTGTACTATGAAATAATTATGTATGAAACACTAAGGTATGACGTCATAGTATTTTTGCGTCTAATAGCTTTCTTATTTCTTAAAAATAAGCTACAAAATATCTCAAACTTAGTGTATCGATCGATTGATAAATAAAAGTTTTGTTGTTTTTCAATGTTTTATTGTATTAAAACGTCAATTTAATTTATTTTTGACCTAGGAATCTACCCAAATTTTAAGAAATAAGTAAGTTATTTGACCGTACAATAGCACGACAGCATTATTTAGAGTTTCGTACTAATCATAATTATAAACATGGAAAAGTATCGTTCTTGAAATTTGAATAAAAGTATTGAATTTGACTAGTAAGAAACTACCGTGTTGTACCAATACTATGATCTTTCGGTTTACACAATGACGATAAGGCAGGAATTTTAATATAATAAGGTTATATTTTAATATAATAGGTTAGGTAATAAGGTTTTGTAATAAGGCAGGAATACCTGCCTTATTACAAAACAAGGTTTTACTTTAGTCTAGGACTAAACCATTGAGCCAGTTTTCGTATTTCAAAATGAAGGTACTTAGATGACAATAAGATTCAAAATTCAAAAACCGACTCATTGGTTTAAACCTGGACTAAAGATAAACCTTGTTTTGTAATAAGGGGGTTTGGGTTTACATGGTTAACTAAAGGTGTTGTTCGTTGCAAATAAAAATTAGGTTTGATGTAGGTACGCTACTTACCTATGTGTAGGTAGCATAGTTCTTTGAAGCAGTTAATTTGTTAGTTAAGTGGAATAAGTTCTGTGTCTCGACATTCTTTATTATTATTTAGTAATGGACAGGCGTTTGGCCGCTACCACGCCTGGTGGTTAGCGATGATGCGACCTACGATGGACGCCTTACCATAACCAGCCCATCCACACGGGAAGTCGGGAATTGATTTACGCATCTGGAAAGCTACTATAAGCTAATTATTTTTTCCCCTTGATCTCGTACGCTGGCTTAGCTTAGCCGTACCCTCGCACGATAGATATTTGGTTTGATTTTTAACTAGTTTATCTCTCTTCTCCTTTATAGAATAATTTGGGTTCATTGTTCTCCTAGCTAAGATCGCGGATTTCACTCAATTTCCTTTTCTTGACAAATTGACTATACAAGATTTTTTTAGTTATTTTTGAACCAGCCGTTCCTGAGATTGACTCGTTCAAACAAACAAACAATCAAATATACTCTTGAGTTGCAAGTTTCACATAAATAGTACATGTTTAACCAAGCAACAACTACAAGTTAAACCTAAGTAGTATCTACTTAAGTTAATAACTTATTACACTAGTCAAGTCACTTGTCTTCGCTTGGGTGAGCTTTTGAGGAGTTTGTTCCTGTTAGGAACATGTTTTTTATTCCATATAATTTTCCGCTAAGTAATTTCTCTTGCAATTTTTTTTTATTAAATTGATAATGCTAGAGAGTTTCATGTAAAGAGTTTTTATACTCGAAACGTAACTTTGTAGTTCGGGATTGATGGATGTTTCTTCTTCTGCTCTTTCACGTAAAACTACGGAACGGATTTGAATAAAATTAAGCATGGAGATAGATAAGTAATTAAGCCGGGGTTGCGGGGTAAGCGCAATGAGCCACCGCGATTTCGGCCCAGAGCTGGAGAAGGAACAGTTTAGTCAGTAAGAGTCTGACACTCCCTCTCGCCCGACCCTGATTGACTGACCCGATTTTCCCCTCACAAAAAAAGGTAGATAAGTAATAATAAGTACCTAGTCTAAGATCACAAATTATGTGTAACTTAAATTTGTCTTTTACCGACTTCCTGACTAAAAACCGTTTCTCCTTTTGAATCGGTTGAAGAAAGCATAAAATGCCATTTTCGGTAGTGGAGGGTGGCAAAAGAAATTTATTATTTTTAAATTATGAAGGTACCTATGTAACAAGCGAATGGTAATAGGGTACTAATTACAACGGCTTTAACCCGGGGCAGGCCCGGTGTATCTTTTAGTCAGTAAGAATCTGAAACTCTCGCCCCTTACGAAGCGTAAGAAGACAATTAAAGGTTTTATTACATAAAAAAAGTACAAACTATCTAAGTTAACGTGAATATTCTGAATATTATTTTTTAAAATCCAATATATTGCCAACTTTTTCAAATGTATGCATCCAAAACTTAACGATACAGTGTTGCGATGCCTCCTGTGAGGATTGAACTCACGACCCCTGGTTTACGAGACCAGTGCTCTACCACTGAGCTAAAGAGGCTATGATAACATCGCCATAATAACACACCTCTATGTGTATACCTATATGTATGTAGGTAGGTCGATAATAAAAAGGATGATCCGTGAGATCATTAATCCTATTGTTATTGTGAAACTAGCTACTGCCGCACAGTTTCACCCGCTGCTCGGCTCCTATTGATCGTAGGGTGATGTTTTATAGCATATGGCACTCAGGAACATTGTAGCCACGGAATAGAAAATACAGTGGAAGTGCCGCTCAGACATCGCGCGCTAACCAACATGATGACTAGATATACAACATTTTGGCACATTTGTTGTCAGAATCGTTCGATCCGTCATCATGATTGGTTGTCATGGTTGTCTCTAAGAAACACGAAATATATTAGAAATTATGCCTTGTTGTGCGGTTTTTAACTGCAAAAAAGTAAGCAGAAAAAAAGATGAGTCTTGTGGTGGTGTATCGTATCATCTTTGAGTATTAACCTTTGTTAATTTTAAATATATTAGATTTTAATGTAAATATCACATTTCATTACTTCAATGCAAACTATAAAGGGCCTTATTTTCATTACAATTAAGTTTAAATCTACTTGTTCGTTATGTGACGTTATATACAATACATTCTAGTAGTTTCGACGCTACTCATTTAGGGATGCGACATATTCGTAAAATAGGTTCATATCGATAATTTTTCATCATCATCGTTCAGAAAATTGATTTTTGTCAATTTTTGTGTATAATTCATAAATGTTTAACTAAGATTGCATAGACACATCAACGTTTTAACCACACAGCGTGCATCCGTCTGTGGCAGGTGCGGGTGGTTAATCACCATTTTTATTTTATAACTAGTTTTCGCCAGCGGCTTTGCCCGCGTGCTGTGTTGATAAAAAGCAGCAAATAGCAATAGAACAAAATCTAAGTATGCATAAAATTTGGTATTTATCGTCTCATTTTTGGGTACATCTCCAATGGGTAAATACCCTATTACTTACTAAGTCTTCGCAGTCCGTCCGTCAATAGATAGAAAGGTACGGATCTAACTAATAGGTAAGAGTTACAAATATTTGATAAAACCTATATTATATTATATTTTATACCGCATCGTGTCGAGCACGGCAACCGCTACACAAAAATAATTCTTATACCATGATTCAGTGTTCACTTGCGACGGCGCTATGTCTTATTATCCGAATTGCTGAGCTATCAGAAGTTACACGTGCTATTGTGAGTTAACCATAAAAGATAGACATATGCTGTAAAACATTTTTTTTTAGACAATTTAATTTCTATGTAAGTTTAACCATTAAGGTAACACACGCGACTGAAACTTACAAAAGGGAGTAACTTCTTCCGTTTTCCCAAAATTTTCCTTCACTGCTCTGCTCCTATTATTTGTAGCGTGATGAAAAGTATCCTATAACCTGCCCAGGAGTATAAAGAATAATTGTACCAAGTTTTGTTAAAATCCGTCGAGTAGTTTTTGTTTCTATAAAGAACATACATACAGACAGACAGACAGACAAAATTTTTACTGATTGCATTTTTGGCATCAGTATCGATCACTTATCACCCCTGGTAGTTATTTTGAAAATATATTTAATGTACAGAATTGACCCCTCTACAGATTTATTATAAGTATAGATGTTATACCATGATTTTTATCAGAGTTCCAAAAAGGAGAGTGACTCTCAATTCGACTGTAACATTTTTTTTTGTTTTTTTTGTCTCCGTTATTTATGAACCGATTATTATGATTCTATTTTAGTTGGAAAGGAGATAAAACTTGTAGGAGCGCGTAGTGCTTTTATATGTTAAAATCGAAATCTTTAATAATAACTTGACCATCTCCAAAAAACATTAAATCTTCAAAAAATATGTTAATATTTTTCTTTTTTTTTTATTAAAACCTTTTTCATTACTGATCATTTGTAGGTATATCGTGTCGATAAATTATATTGCTCACACGAATACAAAAACATCGATATATTGGGATACCCTGCCCTATCTGAGTAGCAAAATAGTAAATGTCTATTGGTACAAGTGCATACAAATATGACATCTATTTCAAAGAAGTTAGCGTTTTGAATAGAATGAATTTGTTACAGCGCCATCTAGCGTTGAGTGGCTGAACCCGTTTGTAAATTGTTTTATTTAAGTTTTTTACACGATAGACGCCTTTATTGATTGTGACATGTGAAATGATAACAACTTTCGCTCATTGTTATAAGACTCAATTTTTAACAACATTTAGAAGATGATTT